AAAGAGAGAGAGAGAGAGAGAGAGAGAGAGAGAGAGAGAGAGAGAGAGAGAGAGAGAGAGAGAGAGAGAGAGACAACTGTTGCAGGGAACGTGGAGTGCAGCGGAGCGGCAGCGTCGACTCGACGAAGGCGGAGCAGCAGAGGAGCGTGCGCGGCGATGGCTGCGAACTGGCACGCGCGCTCCCGAATGAAGCCGTTGAATTTTTAATTCAACGACGTTAAACGCGATTTAATGTGTTTGAACGACGTTAAACGCAGTTTAACACGCGGGCCCGCGGTGCGTTTATGGTGGTTCGGCCGGCTGCGCACGGGTTCACGCGAGCGGGGGAGACGGTGGGGGGTGCTAGACGGGAGACCCTGAGGCGGGCGACAGTCAAGGAGGGTTGGATTGCAAGGGGGTTTGGGGGAAGGGGGACCCTGCGGCGGGCAGCGGTTAACGGGGGTTGGGTTGCAGCGGTGCGGTCGGGGGGAGTCATCGAGGGTTGTCTCGCCAGGGTGGTCGACATGGGGAGGGCACAGCGCCGTCAACATGAGGCTGCCGTGGACCATATGCAGGACACATTCAGGGCCTGCTCGCCTGTTTATCGGTACCTGGTTGCCGGCCAGAAGGTCGACAACAAGGGGGTCATGATGCTCCGTTGCACGTTTTGCAACAAAGTTTTCCAAGGGACCCAATTTCAGGCCACGAGGCACTTCTCGCAGACAAACTACTGCAAGGACGTCAGCGACGAGGCGTTGTACGAGATCGCTCGACAGAGTCAACAGAAGTTCGAGGCCAATCAGATGGAGAGGGTTGCCAGGTATGCAGCGGAGCCCGGACTCGATGTGCCCGGCACGGGTGGTGCAAGGGGAGGAGAGGCGGGCCGGCGTCCGGTGGAGGGAGGGGTCGGGGGAGATGGTGGGCATGGTGCGCCAGACCCCACTTTGGGTGGTGGAGGCGGTGAGACGGAGGAGGGCGTGATCCACGTCGATCGCAAGGCGTGTGGCCCAGGCAAGGAGGGAGTCCCGGAACGGGAGGACGTGCCAGAGTTTTATCCAGGCACTGGGGAGAGGTTGGAGGACTGGCGGAGGCGAGCAGGCAAGGGAGCTGCAACGGATGGGTCTTCCAAGAGGAAGACAGGAGGAAGTGATACGGCTGCCACCCCAACAAGAAAGAGGCTTCGCCAACAGAAGGTGACTGATGTCTACGGTGGCGAGTGGGTTGCTCGCCACAAGAAGGAATTCCTTCGCTGGCTGTATTCCAGCGGGGTCTCCTTCAATGCCTTCCGCAACCAGGCTTGGAAGGGATATCAACAGGTGCTTCTTGAGCAGTCTGGCGGTTCCCCGCGCGCTGTGCTCCCCAACCACTGCGAGATTGTGAGTATAAGGGCGGTGGAGACCCACCGTGCGGAGTTGGCGGAGGAGTTGGAGGAGGTGAGGCAGCCATTCTGGGTGACTGGTGCCACCCTCCTCTCCGATGGGAGGAAATCACGAGACGGGAGACCGATCGTGAATTTCCTTGCCGCTGGCTCGCGAGGGGTCGTCGTGTACATGACGATCAATCGAGAGGGCGAGGCGGACGATGCAGTGCACGTCCTTTGGAGATGGGTTACCATCTTCCACGAGTTCAGCTTCGGCGGGCCGCAGCGGATCAATGCGATATGCACTGACTCCGCTTCTGCCTATGTGGGGGCTGCAAGGGCATTGGCCTCGCCGTCCATGCCTCCTGCACTGAGGAGGATCACTTGGCTCCCGTGCTCCGTCCATGTCTGCAACAAATTGTTGTCAGATATGGGGACGAGTTGCGACGCGTTTGTGGACGCGATCACACGCGCTCGTGTGCTGGTGGTGATTTTCAAAACCCACCAGGCCGCCCTTCATTTTTTTAGGACGCGCAGCCCCGATAATGGGCTTTTTCTTTCTTGTGAGACGTGGTTCGCGTCTGTTTACTCCATGCTAGAGAGCCTGTTGGCCCTGCAGGACACTCTGCAGGACATGATGCGAAGGGATGACACGCGGGCTTTTGCTTCCATCGCGTGGTCCGCCGATGTGTGCGTCATGGCACGTTGGGTGCGCCGACAGATCAGATGGGATCCATGGTGGCAGAGGGTGGCCACCATCGTCCATATCATGCAGCCCGTCATGGAATTGCTTAGGCGGATGGATCGTGGGGGACAGTACATGTCCCTCATGATTGAGTGGACGCAGGATCTTGTCCGCCGTGTCACGGACGCATGCGCCCCTTTGGGGAAGTCGTTCGCCGACCGGATCATCAGGCGTGTGCAGGCTCGCACACAGCACATGCTTGAGCCGGCTCACTGCGCAGGGTTCTTACTGAACCCCCGCAGGCGACACGTTCGCTACTTTTCGGGCCAGGTAGATCGGTACGATGCTTGGCTTGTGGGGCAAGCCAAGAGGTACATTCTGACGCTGACGGGATTCGAGTTGGAGGGTGCGAAGTACATCCTTGCATGTCGGCAGTTTGAGGACTTCCACATTCAGTAGGGTAGGTTCGAGGATTGGGGCGGGTCGGAGGGGCATGCTTGTGGGCGCGCGTGCAGCGGCGACAGCGAGACGATTGAGTGCGCGTCTTGGTGGTCTCAGTTCGGGTCGGGTGCGCCAGAGTTGCAGCGTTGCGCTCTTCAGGTGATGCACATGTGGTATTGCGCCTCTCCAGCGGAGAGGAACTGGGCAGTCCACGAGGGCATTCACACGAAGAAGCGCAACCAGTTGGCCTTCGAGAAGGTCGTTCAACTTGTTGAGATCACCGCAAATGTGCGGTTGAGTGAGTATCGGCGGGCCGGACGCGGTTATGTGTTGCCATGGCAGCGGGACGAGGGCACGCTGGCTTGCCAGGCAGGACTCGAGTTGCAGCATGTGCCCTCGGGGACTCGCAGGGGGATGACGGAGGAGGAGATTGCCCGTCAGGTTGCACTTATTACCCGGGATCCGATCGGGGCGTCCGCACCACCCTCTGCTGATGCCGTTTTCGATAGACGTGCTTGCATTTTTCGTCCCTACCCCAGGGAGGACGACTCAGACGAGGAGCCGGTACCCGAGGCGGCAGATGACCCTACGCTCCGCATTCCCCGCGAGATCGACGAGACGCACGAGGATCCCGACTCCGCGGAGACGAGGGAACACACTGCACGACGGGCGGCGGACCGGGCGGAGAGGGAGATGCTGGGGGGAGAGGAGGAGTTTTGGGGCCCATTCGGTGAGGTCGCTTCCACGGGCAGCCCAGAGGCGCAGGCGACGACCCCCACTCCGACGAGGCGGGAGTCGTCCATGCCACCACCTCCTGCTCCGAGTCCTGCACCACCATCGCCCGTCTCGCCACTTCAGCCGGCCACGGCAATGGCGGACAGGGAGGAGTTGGGGTCCTCTTTGCCTCAGCGCGGACTTCTCCACAGAGGCGGGGCAGTCTGCCAGCTGAGGTTACGATCACCTTCCCCGGGGATATTGTAGGAGGAGGGGGCACCGTCGGCAGCAGCAGTGGAGAGTTCGGTGGCACTAGCGGCGGTGCCGGACACGACGATCTTAGCCGCGGTGGAGGAGATAGCAGCAGCAGCAGCAGCAGTGCTGGAGGAGATGGTAGCATCAGTGTTGGAGGACGATCCACCAGCGGCAGGAGGAGGTGCAGCAGTGGAGGGGCAGGTGGCAGCAGCAGGAGGAGTAGGTGGAGGAGCAGCAGCAGTGGAGGTTGAGGTGGCAGCAGCAGTGGAGGAGGAGGAGGCATCGTCGGCAGCTGCAGTGGAGGGGGAGGTGCCAGGACCAGTGGAGGAGGAGATAGCCGCACAGGCCGAGGTGCAGCGTGGGGGCCATGACGAGCGCCTCATGCAGCAGTTCCTCACGGAGGAGCTCGATTCGGTCATAGCGGGTATGACCCCGGGTGTGGCGAGGGGTTTTGGGATTTCGGATTCGGAGATGGGGACCCACTTAGACTTAGATTTGTCGATGGGCCTTCCACCTAGTTGCGGCGGGGCCACATCAACGGACCGGGCTCCATCGAGGGACGAGGCGCCAGGACAGACTTGGACGCAGACCGCGAGAGAGAGGACGACGACTGAGTCTCCCGATGCAACACGCGACATCATGGAGCGAGAGAGGGCTCGACTTTTGACATCGAGTGACCCGCGTGCTCAGTGGTTTGCACGGGCCGTAGAGGAGGCCAGGCGTCGAGAGATAGGGGGGGATTGTGTGCAGGGTGGGGTGGTGGCGAGGGAGGACGTTGCGGAGGGACTGGTAGCAGAGCCGGTACCCGAGGCTATGCCGGGTGGAGCAGAGGCAGCGGACGTTGCTGTGGAGGGATGGCCTCAGGCGGTGGATGAGGCTGTGCAGGTAGGACACTAACGAGTCGAGGGGGGTATAGACGCACGGCATGAGGTCCAAGAGACAGCGACGGGTCCAGTCGTTCCGTTCTCGGGCCTGCACTAGGCTCAGGGCCGACAGTCGCAGGCGGTTCAGATGGCAGTGCATGGTGTGCCACCTCCCGTTATCACGGATTTGGGGTCCGAGCCGGTGGTTGTGCCCCCACGTCTTCCTAGCCACTTTGCTTCGCAGGAGGTCCGTCGTCCTTTGGATGCAGAGGAGTTGGCGAGAGAGGCTGTGCGCGATGTTACTCGATTGGACCAGCGGATCTTCGATCGGAGGCTCGAGCATCCAGCATGGCAGACGATCCCTTCGGTTCCATGGTCCTGCATCGCCCGTGTGGTCTGGGTCTACCTCCACCGGAGGACATACCGCGGGACATGTTCCAGGGGTTTCGGGTGGCGTGACGGAGACAGGGCCACGCACAGGAGACATGCCACCCCCTCCTCCCAGAGCACCTGTAGGTGATCCATCATCGTCGCCCACAGGCAGAGGCTCTCGATCCCCATACACGCCTGGGAGATGTGGGATTCGTAACACGACAGCAGTTCAGCAAAACGTGTGTGACACGACGATATTCGGGAGGACAGACATAGATTTGGATTCCACCCGCCGTGTCACGGAGCACACTGCACGCCTTCAGCCGGGCTTGGGAGGAGGAGGCGCTAGGACGACCGCGGCGAGGGAGGTACCGACATCAGATTGTGAGCCTCAGCGAGGTCACGGCAGAGGAGTGTCCATCGAGACCTTGGAGTACGCTCTGAGAACAGCGATGCGTGCCATGCAGGAGCAGACTCCACGCAAGCGTGGAGTGCCTCCTAGTCCACGCCCCGTACCTGCAGAGGGAGGCACTGCACTTGGAGAGAGTTCGGGGGCGGAGGGGTTGGGGATGCATCGTGGATCCCGCCGTGAGCAGACCGCTGCAGAGGGTTGTTGTGTTGAGGAAGGGAGGAGGCCCAGTCACCATCGAGGAGGATGATCCTGATACGGATGCAGCTGTGCGGGACGCGGATGAGGACTATGAGGGCGAGGAGGGGGGAGAGGAGGAGAGCAGGAGCGGTTCCGATGGTGATGACAAGGATAACTACGATGAGCCCCCACCTCCCCCAGGACCCCCACCGACGCGTGCATCTAGACGCTCCGCTGCGCGGACTTCTTCATCCTCACGAGGGAGGAAGAGGTCGACATCCGACACTCGAGGGGGTACGAGGAGACACATCGGGAAGGGGAAGAAGGGTCGTTGACCGATGAGGCCAACACTCCGCTTCTCCCCTACTCGCACTGTACGTCGTCATGTTGTGCGGTCCTAGTTTTTTTGGTCGTTTGAGTCGTCTCGTCGTGTCTCAGTATTGTCAGACACTCAGTGGTTGTGTGCGTGCTTTACTTGTTGGTGTGTATGATTTTAGTAGCAGTAGGGTGTTCGTAGAGTATGATTTTGGTGCCAGTAGGGTGTTCGTAGAGTGTCGTCGGTTGCAGACTGAGTACAGACTGTACAGTATCTCGGCGGCTATGACACGACTTGTAGACTACTGTTTCTTGTAGTTTTTTCGACATGTGGTGTCAATGCATTAGCAGTAGGATACATTGTATCATGTTACATTTTGCATGTGTGATATTAGTGTCAGCCTGTCAGGTACTTCGCATCGCTCACGACTTTTTATGTACATTACATTTTCTGTTATGGGGGGTGTGTTCGGGGTCAGATAGGGGTTTTTCGGTCCTTTAGGTGTGTTTGGGGGGGGTGTTAATGGGGGGTGATTTTTTTTTTTTTTTCTGGTTCGAGTGTTCGGGCACGTAGGCACACGTGTCCGAGGCCCAACGCGCGAATTCCGTTTTTCGGAATTCGATGCGACGCCCCCGTTTTTGCGTTAAACGCGATTCAACGCAGGTCCAGAGGCCCGTTAAGCGGAGGTTCGGGAGTTGAATTCCGCCTGTTCTCCGTTCAAATGATACACAGTCCATGTGTACTCGTGCGTATACAAATATATACCCTGACTCCATACTTGACGTGCTCATCATCTGCTACAGGTGGCTAATCTAATCGTTAATCTGCCATTTAGTACCTCTCACACCAAAGGTTCAGTAGCTCCTAAAATCATGTACAGCCTTCTGATTAGTCCTGAGCTGAGGTAAGCAATGCAACCACACCCTCAAATACATTGAAAATGAAAGTTGCGCAGACATCCAGATCCCACAGTAAGAATTCCTACACGAAAGCTCTGGCATGTACATCGTTCATATGTACCCCCATCAATCACTAGTACGTAGCTCTCAAGCACAGACGCGTATCCACCCAGAAGAACCATCATTGTCGTCACACGTCATGCGATCCATTCCCCCGTGAACAATTTCGCATAACCTCAAACGACTCTGTTTATAACTCAGCTCATGCTAGAAGTCGTATTCAGGAAGCACTTTCCACTGCGGAACTTATAGCAACATGATGTAGGATGCAAACCCAGACACAGCGATACACTCCATTCTACTACCTAGGTAGTATCCTGCTCTTAATCCTTCATTATACAACATCAACCCCAACGTTACTGGTCAGCACCACCTATCACTCATCAACTCATCATAAGCTCCATCGAGGACACTTTTTCCATGCAGACATCAGTCAACGCCTCAGGAGAGTAGCAACGCCCCGTCAATACATCCCACATGAGTCAAACACTAATCGGCATGCTCTGAGCGTCCGACTCCAGGTCGTCCCGCCTTTGCACGTATGCAGGAACCAACTGCTACACGCCTAACCCTGCAAGCATTAGCTAATCAAGCATGGAGGAGCACCCAGATCCCACATGACATAATCACGATGGCAGCACACATTGGATTAGAAACAAACGATCGAGAGAAAAGGGAAGGGTCGAAAAAGATAAAAATGAACAACAGAAAAAAAAAACAGAAAAAATAACGAAAGAAAGAAAGAAACTGCAGAGGGACGAAAGTCGCTAAATACAAGTAGGTTTTTTTCTCCGAAGCAACTCATGAGCCCCTACCTATAATACCACATCTAGGGTAGGTAAGAGGCCATGAAAAGATTAGGACTCGGCTAGGGATGTGGTACTCATTCCCGAAAACATGTTTGTCGCTAGATGTGCCACTGAATCTAGCTCATCAAAGGGTCCTTTTTTCAGGAAAGCACGAATAC